CAGTGATTGTTCCCTATCAGTACTAGTAATTAGTAATTAACAGGGCATTCCCAGTGACTGTTCCCTATCAGTAGTAGTAATCAGTAATTAATAATTAGTAATTAACAGGGCATTCCCAGTGACTGTTCCCTATCAGTAGTAGTAATCAGTAATTAATAATTAGTAATTAACAGGGCATTCCCAGTGACTGTTCCCTATCAGTACTGGGGACCACGCCCCATATCCAGGCCCCCCAAGGCATCGGGATCACAGTGCACAGGGACAGCTCCAGGCAAAGAGGGTCCCTCAGGATCTTCTGCTTCCCAATAAATAACTCATTAATTATTAATTAGCGGGGTTTCCCCAGCGATTCCCCCTGTGAGCACTGGGGCCACCCCCCTTCTCCAGGACCCCCTGGGCAGTGGGATCCCACTGAGCCAGGGCCACACGTGGTCCCGCAGGAGTTTGGCTTCCCAGGCCACAGCCAGGCCCTCGGGATTTTCTGCTCCCCAGCAGCTCATTAACTATTAATTAACACACTTTCCCCAGCACGGGCAGGTGACAGGGCCCTCCCTCACCTGAGCCTCATGTCATAGGATGCCAGGTCTCCCTTGTACTCCATGGGCGTGTGGATCTTCCCTGCAGGACACAGGGCAGGATGAGGATATGGGGCAGGATGAGGATATGGGGCAGGATGAGGATATGGGGCAGGATGAGGATATGGGGCAGGACAAGGACACGGGGCAGGATGAGGACACGGGGCAGGATGAGGATATGGAGCAGGATGAGGACACGGGGCAGGATGAGGACACGGGGCAGGATGAGGATATGGGGCAGGACAAGGACATGGAGCAGGACAAGGACACGGGGCAGGATGAGGATATGGGGCAGGAGGAGGACACGGGGCAGGATGAGGATATGGGGCAGGAGGAGGACACGGGGCAGGACGAGGACACAGAGGAGGATGAGCACACGGGGTAGGGTGAACACACGGGGCAGGATGAGCACATGGGGCAGGATGAGCACACGGGGCAGGATGAACACAAAGGGCAGGATGAACACAAAGGGCAGGATGAGCACAAAGGGCAGGATGAACACATGGGGCAGGATGAGCACAAAGGGCAGGATGAGCACAAAGGGCAGGATGAACACATGGAGCAGGATGAGCACATGGGGCAGGATGAGCACATGGGGCAGGATGAGCACAAAGGGCAGGATGAGCACAAAGGGCAGGATGAGCACATGGAGCAGGATGAGCACACGGGGCAGGATGAGCACACGGGGCAGGATGAGCACACGGGGCAGGACAAGGACATGGGGCAGGATGAGCACAAAGGGCAGGATGAGCACATGGGGCAGGATGAGCACATGGGGCAGGATGAGCACAAAGGGCAGGATGAGCACATG